AAGTGGTTAGACCACCGGTTGCGCGATCAAAAGATAATTGTGTTTGGCTGAGTTCGGGTCCGCTAGATTGGCTAAGCTTTTGAAGACACTTTTCGGAGTGTCGTCTCAAGTGTGTGGTGCCGTGAATAGTGTCGCCTTGTAATTTAGATAAACAATATTTACACTGAGCTATATGTTTAGTGTTACCTTCATTATCCACCTCGTCAATTATGTCGAAGTGATCCCAAACTGTCGAGGTACGCTTGTATTTTCTCCTGGAGGTTGCAACACTTGTCGACGCAGACGCAGTCGCACTCGTTGCCGCTTTTCCACGCCCACTATTGCGACCACGACCTCCAGTACGTCCACCATGCCTTGGATTAGTAGATTGCATTTGCTGCGTAACAAACTCATTAGTGGGAAATTGCCCTTCTTCTACATTGTGTTGGGCGTCAACGGGAATACCACTATAACCAAAAGGATCCATTATAAAAAAATAAGATGAATTTGATAGACACTAGAGAGAGAGCTTTAGAAAAATTGTGAGAGAGATTGAGAGAAATTGAGAGAAATTGAGAGAGATTGAGAGAAATTGAGAGAGATTGAGAGGGATTGAGAGAGTTTGAGTGAGAAAAATGTGTGAGGGATGGAAGGTATTTATAGGAAAATTTTGGGGTTAAAAAAAAAATTTTTTTTCAAAAAAAAACGGGATAAAACGGCTAGTTTTTTGAAATTCGAATTCGGGCAGTCGGGCAAACTCGGGCAGCTCGGGTTTTCAAGCAAATTTCGGGCAAAATTCAAAAAACTAGCCGTTTTCGGGCAGTTCAGGCAACTCGGGTTTTCAGGCCGAATTCGGGTAAAAATTCAAAAAACTAGCCGTTTTCGGGCAACTCGGATTTTCGGGCAAAATTCAAAAAACTAGCCGTTTTCAAGTATTCGGGCACCTCGGGCGGGTCGGGCAATTCGGGTAGGCGAGAAAAATTCAAAAATTCGGGCTTCAGGTCGGGCAATTCGGGCACACCCAATTTTCGGGTCGGGCAGTTCGGGCTTGGTCGGAAAAATGCAAAAAAATCCCGACGGACGGCGGTATACGGTGGTTAGACGGCGGCGGGCAAGGGTGGACATTTCAAATCCAGGCTGCCCGAGCCCAAACCCGAATTTCTTGCTTGGACGGGCAGGAATTGAGCCGACCCGCCGACCCGAAGTTCCAGCACTAGTTATAGATAGGTATTTTTATTTCAATTATTAAATTAAATTTTTAACGATTTATTGTTGATATGCAAACTATTAACGTGGACATTCACAAATTCGTACCGTTAAAATATTAATTTAATAGTTAAAGTAACAGTTACAATCAATAATAGAATAGGTATTGAAGTCCTCTATCTTTGATCAAATTAAGAGTTCATTTAGTACGAAATTAGGATGATTCTAATCATAATTTTAAAACCAGAACTATAATTCATAATTTTAAGTTCAAATCATGATTCTAAAATCATGATTCAAAATTAAGGGTTTGAATCACTATGAATCAAGAGGTGGGTGGTTTTAAAATCATGATTTGAATTAGTTTAAAACCTCACATCAGATTCTGAATCATAATTCAAAATCATCTAAACCAAACACTGATTCTGAATCATGATTCAAAATCACTGTAAATAAACACTGATTCTGAATTAAGATTCAGAATCATGATTATGAATTTATCTATCAAACACACCCTAAGACGCACTTTTTTTTTTCCTCCTTCCTTCAAAGAACTGCGGGACGGATATGCAACAGTAACGAGAAGCCATTGTTTCAATATATTTATAAAATGATGTTATCTGTTCACCATGGAAAGAAAATTAATAACTTTTTTCCCATTTTTTTATAGCTCGCTATATGGCTAGTATAGTAGCATTCATAGAGGATTATTCTTCCCATCGACTATGGGAAATAAAATTGTTACCTGCATACAACTCTGTTATTCCCTTCTGATGGTTAATATTCTCTTTGATGAAATTGCAGGCCTATGAAATTAAGTGACAACTGACAAGTAGTAGGATACTAAAATAGGAACCAATGAATATAGTCTTCCTCATCAAAATAGGAAGATCCATGTTTTTTTTTTCACAAGTTTGAATTGATTTGTAAAGAAGTACAGTACAGAATGAGTAACGAGATACATGAAGGAATAGTTCAAATGACTGTGACTGACCTCGAAATTGTTGGAAGACAGCTTGTGGACAAAATACTAACTAGACGTTCTTAGAGTTGAGGCAATAAACCCTTACTGGATATGTCAAAACGCAAAAACCCTTGATCTAGTGAATAGCATTATGATTAGTCTCATCTTTTACGAACGCTAATTCAGAAGCCAACGCGATATGATCGCTAGCCCATTTCTGCAAAGCAATGGATAAGAAAGAGATTTAGGAGCTGTACTAAAGTATTTTTCTACAGTTTGATTGAAATTGACGGTTCTGTCACTTGAATTACAAGAATCCAAAGGCTATTATTCAATGAACCGATTCACATGTTTGATCAAATTCAACAATCTATCACGTATTTCCAAAAATACCGCAATGTTTTCTCTATTTCTTTCTAAATTGCGTCCTAACTTGAACACAAGACTCAATACAATTAAAAAAAGAAAACTCAAACACCCTCTAAACACAATTGAGCTAGCTTTAATCGGCATAAAAAAATATTGAGATTATTCCTATGTTTAATACTTCAGTACAATTCTGTCAGTTAAAGTACAAGGCTTAAAAGCTATTCTTCTAGCAAACTCTAATTCATATGTTTGATCGATTGCAACAATCTATCCTGCGTTTTCAAAAATATTGAGATTTTCTGTTTTTTTGGCAAGACAAATACCCTTGACCTTTTCTAGTCACAAGAAAGTAACCCCTAATGTCAGATTTAACTAGATTAACTATGCAAGAAACTTTTTTTGTGTATAGAAAGAAACTGTGTTTGATTTTAGGAACTTTGTCAAGACTCTCGGGTGTCATTAAGAATAAGACTTCCCAAAAAATCTCGAAACTGATTATTCTCAAATGCCAGAAAAATTGAAGATCAAAATTGTTGTCTTCAACACCTCTCTTAAAGAAGCACAATTTCTTTTATGAAGAATAATTGTAGTTTTCTAAAACACGTTAATTTTTGTCCGATTAGAAAACACAAGGAATAATCTCAGCATTTTTAAAAACAAAGGGTCGGATTATTGCATTTCAATTAGGAAAAATTTCATATTGGTACTCTGTATTTTAACATAATTATCTTTTAATACCCGATGTTTTTAGTAATTTTAAATTAACACCTCGACGTTTTATAAAATTGTTTTTTAGTACCTTAAGGTCATTTTTTAGAATGTAAAATGTTAAAATTACCCTTCTTATTAATTAACCAAAAAATTCATAATAAATTTAGAAAAAATCTGAATTTTTTTTAAACATTTAAAAATTAAAAATAAAAATAATGCTTTAAATTAAAAATAATTTTTTCAGAATTTTTTCTAAATTTATTAGTTTTTGGTAAAATAATGAGAAAGTAAATTTGACATTTTACATCTTAAAAAATGACCTCAAGGTACTAAAAAATAATTTTCTAAAACGTCAAGATACTAATTTAAAATTACTAAAAACACAATGTACTAAAAGACAATTATGCTAAAACACAGTCCCAATATGAAATTTTCCCTTTATCAAAAGATTAGGTTAACATAATTTCTTTTAGGAAAAAATGAAAAATTTCATATTGGCCCTGTGTTATAAGGTAATTATCTTTTAGTATCATGTGTTTTTAGTGATTTTACATTGGTACCTTGATGTTGTAGAAAATTATTTTTTAGTACCTTGAGGTCATTTTTTAGAATGTAAAATATCAAATTTATCATTCTCATTACTTTACCAAAAACTAATAAATTTAAAAAAATTCTAAAAATTTAATTTTAATTTAAAGCATTATTTTTATTTTTAATTTTTAAATGTTTAAAAAAAATTTCAAAAAATTTCAAAATTTATTATTAGTGTTTTGGTTAGTTAATGAGAAGGGTAACTTTGACATTTTACATTCTAAAAATAACTTTAAGGTACTAAAAAGCGATTTTCTAAAATGTCAAGATACCAATTTAAAATTATTAAAAACACAATGTACTAAAAGACAATTATGCTAAAACATAAAGTACCAATATGAAATTTTCCCTTTCAAATAAAAATGGGGAGATTTTTGTCATTTCCCGATAAATTTACAATTACCATTGGAAATGACTAACTAAAGAACAAGCATACATACATTAAGGGCCCGTTTAGTTCGTTGATTCGAGTTTTTAATTCGAGTTGAGATGTGACTTTATGTAAAAGCTTATTACTCTAGTAAAAAAGTTAGATGCAACTGTTTGTGAGAGCTTTTTACTGTAGCAAAACTCGAATTCTAAACTCGAATCAGCGAAATGAACAGGGCCTAAAATTCTAGCCCTTGGTAAGTAAAACGTGATCACGTTTAGAGTATGTAATATATATTTGAGTATTCCGGCATAATTATTTTTCCATTCAGTTCATTGATATTTTTGGACCTTTCTTTTATTACTCCAGCATTTTAAACGTTATACCTTTGTTGGGAATCCTTCAATTGTTTGCATGACCTGTTTTGGTATTGGAGCAAGCACCTTGACAGTCTGCAAACGTTCAGAACGCCTGCATATATATAACATCCCGAAAGTGGCTTCATTAGAATTTAGATGTGTTTCCTTTCTACTGTAATAGTACAGATTCAAATATATATATACATATATACAGCATTGACAGAAAAGTAGACGAGAAAAGGCAGAATCATCGAGTATTTACCAAATGTAATCAACCGTCCCCATGAAACACTTGTTATAACTGGTTACAAGGGGCTCTCCGTTTGAGTCTCTAATACCCAATGTATCCTGCAAAGATGCAAAAGTACTTTTATTTTTGTAACTAACGAAGTACAGATGATCTCTCTATAACCCGAAAAATTGTTAAAATGAGTCAATGACTTAACCTCAACTTCAGTATATGTGCTTCTAAGCTTCAGAGGATGTTCTAAAGAAGTACAGTCTGCATTGCCCGTTGCAGTTTCAATGTCCCCAGGAGTCCACGATGATGGGTCGTAATAGCTTTTATCCACAACAAGAGGTTCCGGATCCAAATCTGGAGATGCATCATTCTCAGCCCTGTTGTGCAATGAATGCTGTGATGAATTGAGGAGAGCAGAAGCAAAACCTTTGGAGGGATCAGTTTCCGCTGGACCTGATCTTAGCAACTGACCGAGCTTACGAGGTGAAGCATCTTCAGTGTTGTGTAACGCAGATAAAAATGTGCTACTATCTTCGACTACATTTCCGTCTTCAGTTATGGCTTTATCTATGTCATTAAAGAATAAATTGTCAAATTTTTCTTGCACTTCAATACTAATAGATGCAGATGACCCGTGAGCTTGACTTGGGCCTGAGAAGCCAGCTTGCTCGTCACTGTAAATTTGCTCGGACTGGCGGCCCATGCTTTCCTCATCCAAATAAATTTTCGGATCAGAGTTCCTACTATGACCGGTGGAAGAGCCACATTCACCTTCAGGCATACTTACATCTTGAAGCAATTCAGCACTTTGCATACAGCAAGTTGATCTACTTCCATCACTGAGGTAATTTGCAGAGATCTGTTCACTTTCTTCTTTAACTTCATCACCATCCTTTCTCCGTTCAACCCCAGTGTTTGATGTATCACAGGCATCAAGAGCATTGCTAGATTGAGGCTGAGAGAAGTTTTCCACTGAGGGAACATTTTCTGGATTGCTATCCGCATTATATAGCTTTTGTGTGTCAAAGGATGATTCGTTCTGCTTGATGCCGTCTTCTCTGTGTAGCAACACTGATGGAGCTGGATTTAAATTATCACCAGACCTGAGGCTGCAATAGTTTGACAAAGCTTTCATTTCAGAATTCAGAGCTTATCTCCAAGATCCAACTGCAGTCACAAGATTAGCAGTCGGTATTTGACTAGTACAAAACCTACCCAGGATTAGGATTATACGTCCTTTGAGCACCAATTACAGCAGAAGCTTGTCCTGACAGCTTATCTCTATGAAGTCCGGATATATCTAACTGCAAAAGAACGATAGTGATTTAATTTCTGGTTCAAAAGCGGCTTGGTCATTAAACGTGGAAGTTGATATAAAGTTTACCTTCTGTTCTGAAATATAGTTGTATATTGGACTCTGACAAGGAAAAAAGAAAAGAAAAGAAAAGAAAAAGAAGTCAACACTGGCATAAAGTAGCACTAGAAAGAAATATGCTATAAAATATGAGCATTACACCCCAAAGAAAAGCTTGAGTGAAAGTGGAAACCTTCGGTACACAATTGAAATCCCCACAAAGGACAATTGGAGCATCATTCCAGAGCTTTGAAACAGCATGTGCCCTAAAAAGGAGGGTCCTCACCTGTTTGAAGATATACAGATATATGGTGATTAATAAATAAAACCTGTATGTAAATTTTACCATTCAGCAGTTCTAGAAGTTTAAGATGCAATCTATATCCTATTTGCTCATGTTATCAGATCAAATTGCAATGAAAAAAGGTTCTACTTGAACATACAGTCCAGAATCAAGCTGGAAGACCTACTGCAGTATGTCTCACAAACACCCAACCAATATACGATTTTACACAGTATCACAGAAACACACAGTCCATGGTTCTGCTACTGCAATTTTTAAATGGCGATCTGAATAGAACAAGAAAAAATAAAAAAGTCTGAAAGAAAATAAGCACACTCATTGAGACCTCATGAGCAATACACCGTCCACGAATATGTCTCCCCAATCATACCTGAGAAACTAGTATTGGAGAGCTGAAAATTATTTAATATTTATGTGTGGACATAATTTACATGTGTGCGGCTGAGGTACAGTGAGAGTTCTGGGCAATGAGTATTTCTGTTATATGGAGAGTCGTTTCTATGGTGATGTGCACTACTTAATAGCAATATTAATGAAGCATGTGAAAGAAATATGCGCACACGCATAGAGAGTAAATGGACAATACTAAACAGGATGACTGTTCAACATTAAAAATGCCATAAACAGATCTAAGCATATATAAACATCAGATAGAAGCAGTCTAAATACGTTCTCAGCAACATTAAGCAATGTCATTATCAGTAGAATGAAACTAAAAGATAAAGAAATATATAAGTTGAACTTCAAATTGCCTAAGGGAAAAAAAATAAAAAATAAAAAATATACCTAATCGACATCTAACATTAATTAGCGACAACTATCGATCCAAATTTGGGGAGGAAAAAAAATACCCTACCTATCAACCGTTTAACATAAGAGGATGTGCAAAAGAAAACCCACAAGAAAAAAATTACCTGGCCAAGCTTTATGTCTCCTCTACTAGGGTTGTAAAGCACATGAATGTTACAAACTACAACTTTATTTGAACCTGTTGAGCTGCAAACGCGGAATATTTACTTCTTTTTTAATTTTTTTTAGCATAAATGCAGAATATGTTGCGTAAACGTTAACATATTACGACAAAACTAGAGACAGAAAGAATCAACTTTCAAGTCATACCATGTCAATGGAATTTTTCAATGAAATCCCAACTAGTTATAATTTACTATTGCACAGCATTCTAATCATTCTTTATTCTCCATAGTTTCTTCAAATGACCAAGTCAAATATAGGACCACTCATTATGTGCATTATCTTTATTAGTTCCAGTTACTCGAGCGAGACTTCGAGAGTGTCACTTAATTTTGCTTTCCCATTCTTCCATTCCTTGAGAGAGAAAAGTTCATTAAAATGTTGTGTGATTAGATTTACCGCCATTCAACAATCTCAAAGACTCAAACTGAAGTGACCAAATAAATATACACCGAAAGCAACTTATGCGAAGGATATTAAATACCTTGTTTCAAGAGCTGCAGCGTTCCCTTCACAATTTTGACTAATCAACTGCCAATTGTCCAGAAGGAAAAATAATGCTTTAAAATCATCAAATAGTCAAGATGAAAACTTTTAAGATAATGGTTAATTTTGCATCTAATGTACCTCCAGTACACAAATCTGAGCAACATTATCCCGAAGTCCAAAATTCTTGAACTCAATTGATTCTTCATGGAGCAACTTGAATCTAATATAATGATAACCAAATGGTCATAATCTAAACAACAAAACAATTAGCTATATGGTATCCTCAACTCACAATCTGATTCAAGGGAACAGTACATATAGCACACAGTGGCCCCATTCTTTTCACGGGTTTGAGTTGAAAACTTGAGCTGAAATTCAAATATTTGTAAGAGAGAACATTGTAGCAAAAAAAGGTTGAATAGTGATTCAAATTGTGAAAAGAACAGAGGCCAATGATACTCCAATGCCTGAGTTATCCCATTTCAAACGATATGATATATTCCATGATCATTGATCACTTGTTCTATAAGCACAACACTCATGTTTTGTGCCAGGAGGCTGCAGGTCAAATTTATACCTTAACTATGTTGTTCTAATAGAAACCTTTTATTTTGAATATCAAGTAAAAATAAAGGCATATTACAACTATAAGTTCACTCATCACCATGAAAGCTAAAGACGTAGAAACTAAGCTAAAAAATCTGAAAACTTGTATTGCTGCAACAATGAAATGGATTCCCTCAATTCCTTAAATCCTTTAATATTAGCTTGAGGGGAATGAATGTGAACATCAACTGTTTCTTGTTTGGAAGAAAAAAAAAAATTCCATCAACTGACCACTTGTCCAGAAAGTCAACCTTTCCCTATGGTGACAAGTGCCCTACAAATAAACGACGTTCCAAAATAAAGAGGATGTGAAAAGTTAGAGAAGTAATTTACCTGGATGCACGCCAAAATATTGCACAACCATCAAGAGGCTTGCCAGTCCTTCTCTATATAGTATTAATAACCAAAACATTGTCATAATTCTATTATCACTGCTTATTATTATTTAAAGAAAAAAATTCGTCACAATAGAAAGAAACGATGATGGAACCAATCTAGTGAAGCTAATAAATACAATAATCATAAAAATCAAACTAAGGACTCAAAGCCACTTCTCATGCTCAATCTTATGCCCACCTTCCAAATGCCGTTATATCCCCGAAGTTTTAACTCCTCCTCTAAGTCCTGAAATCTATCAACCTCCTGAAAAAAAAAATAAAAAAATAAACCATCAGAAACCAAGAGAGTAAATACACAGGAAAAAATTGAAAATGCAAATAAATGACCATCAGAAACAAGCCAAAGGCATTAAACATTATATGCTTCTGAAAAGCACCCATTTATTTTGGTCCAAGCATGCATTAATATACCCCTATCAAGCCCCCCCGGCCAAAGAAAAAAAAAAGGTCCTATCAATAATGACGGTTTCATTAGATATCTTACAACTAGAATCCCTCTTGTTTCCGAGCCAATTCCCGCTGCAAGCTATAGTCCCAGAAAGAAGTAAAAGATACAATCACTCTCAAATGCCTCTCTTAGCCTCCCTCTGTATTTCTCTCTACAGAAAACAACCGCCACAAAATCCCTTGTCTATAACAAGAATTAGGGCAGACCAATACTCACGTTAAATACCTAAAAGGACAATCCGCGTGCTAAGTCAGTGCAATAATTAGGCTTCAACACAACTCAAAACAAATGTGACAAATAACAACCATGACCGAGTGGTTTCCACATAATTTTTGTATTCACGTATTGAAACTAATGCATATCTTACTCAACACAAATATCACAAGCAAAATTGAAGCTTGCGCTTGTACTGAATGGAATTGGCTTGAAAATTACACAAAATGATTCAAAAGCAATCGTTAAGACTGTGTGCGAACCTGAAAGCACATTATGTCAGTGGACCATAATCCGAGCTCGAAGATGATATTCCCCTTTCTCCATCCCCAATCCAATATACGACGAGGAATGTGACTGAAAAGCTCCATCCGATGACGATAACCCAGAGCAACGTAGTCAGCCAGTAAATTATACGAAAGAATCGTAAACCGCTCTGCTCAATAATTTAAAAAAAAAAAAAAAAACGAAATCCAAATTACTAATAGAAACTAACACAAACAGCAAGCACAACAAAGCAGAGCAATTACCACTAGTAGAGGGCGGTGCCGATTTAGCATACTCCCAAATTCGATAATCCGGAGGCCGCGGTCTAAACTGCTGCGGAGGCCTTTGCGGTTGATTCTGTTCAAAGGGCGGAGGACGGTGGTATTGCGGCCGCTGTCGGAACTGCGGGTTCTGATGAAAATGCCGCTGCTGCGGCGGGGGCGGACGAAAGCTCTGGTTTTGACTATGCGGAGGCCGTTCCTGCGCTGGAAAGCCTGAGTTCTCCTCGACGCTTCCGCTGTCCCCATGGTGGAACCCTAAATTGGCCTCGCGGACGGGTCGGAAGTGCGGGTCGCCAAGGCCGGAGACGTTGTGGCTTATGCCGCCGGTGTAGGGCCGATCGAAGAAGTTTCTCCGGGGATGGTTCCGGCCGCCTCGGTACTACGATAGATACATTTCCGATTAGAAAGATATCAGGGGGAAAAAAAGGCTTTTGAATTTGAAGAAGAGAAAAAGAGAAAGCAGTGAAAATATGGATATAGATAGAGAGAGGTGAAATACGGGAGGACGAGAAGACATGGCGGTGGAGGCGTTTGCAGGAGCAGCGGCGACGAAATGGGGGCGGTAACCGTGAAGAAAGCGCTTCATGGGGGGAAGAATTGACGCTACAGCAGTAAGACGAGAAGTACTCTTTGAGCGCGCCCTTTCAAGACGTGTGTCCTTTTTTTTAGGGAATACCCTCTAACACTTTAAAACGTAACGGTGCGTTTGAAATTAATTTTAAAATAATTTGTTTAATATATAAAATTAAAAATGAAAACGTTTTTAATTTTAATAGAAATTATTTTTAAAAATATGTTTAGTAATTTTTTTAAATAGATTATTTTTAGTATAATAAAAATTGAAATTCCGTTTAGTTATACAATTTTTATTTTTAATTTTTTTTAAGTCTACAATCGCCAATGGAGCACGTCAGAGGAAGCCAGCTAGGTGGTAACTTTAAGAGCACTCCGTTAGTTCATTTAAGCCCACACCTAGTACTGGAACTTTGGGTCGGTGGGCCTGCCCGAAGTCCAAATTTTTCGGGCTCGACGGGCAGGCACCTAAGGTCGCCCGTGCAAGCACTTTCTCGGGCTCGGGCTCGAGCTACCTGAAAAAAATCAATATCGTGGAAGCCCGCTGCCGAACGAAAACTCCGACCGTCGGCCGCCGAAATTTTTTTTTATTTTTTTCCTTAAGCCCGAATTCCAGCTCGACTTGCCCGAATTGCCCGAAGCTTGATCAACAGCTAGTTTTTTAAACGTTGGCGCCCGACCTGAACCATCGTACGAAAGCTAGACCACCAACGGCTCTTTTTTTACCGTTGCCCGATTTTGGCCCGAACCCAACCCGCCGATTCCAAGAAATAGCCGTTGGATCCGAATTTGGGGGAAAAATTAATTTTTTTAACCCAAAAATTTCCCTATAAATACCTCCATCCCCCAAACATTTTCCTCACCCAAACCCTCTCATTCTCTCTCAATTTCTCTCAATCTCTCTCAATTTCTCTCAATCTCTCTCATAATTTTTCCAAAAACTTATACAATATCCTAAAGCTCTCTCTCTCAAATCGCTCTTATTTTTTATAATGGATTCTTTTGGTTATGGTGATATTCATGTTGTTGCTCAAAAGAACGTGGAAAAAGGATAATTTCCTACTAATGAATTTATTACACAGGAATCGCAAACACAAGCAATTGAGGAACCTATAAATCCAAGTCGTGGTAGACATAGTGGAGGTCGTGGTCGCAATGGTGGTGGGCGTGGGGGAAAGGCAAAGGCAAGTGCTACTGCAAGTGTTGCAACCTCCAAGAGGAAATTCAAGCGCACCTCGACAGTTTGGGATCACTTCGACACAATTGAGGAGGTCGACAATGACGGTAACACAAAAAACATAGCTCAATGTAAATATTGCTATTCTAAATTATAAGGTGACACTATTCACGGCACAACACACTTGAGAAGACACTCTGAAAAGTATCTCCAAAAGCGTGGCCAAACCGGCGGAGCTGAACTCCACCAAACACAATTATTTTTTGATCGCGCAACTGGTGGTCCAACCACTTAGAAATACGATCCGCAAGTAGATTGTGTGGAAGTTACATAAATGATAGTTGCATTAGATCAACCACTTAGCTTTAAAGAGTATCCTAATTTGCACTGATATATTAAAGTTGTACCCAATCCTAATGTGCAATTTTTTTTTAAAACTACTCTTAGGAAAGATTTGTTAAAATTATTTAAACAACAAAAAGAAGTATTAATAAACTTTTTACACTCTACTAGCAGTTGCGTTACGTTAACGGCAGACATTTGATCTGCCGTTGCCAACAAAGATTATTTATCTGTAAGCACACATTACTTTAAAGGCTTCGATTTAGATAAGAGAATATTAGGTTTTACATGTGTTCTATGATCACATACCGCCGATTTAATATATAATACAATTTTAAATGTAATTGATGAATATAGATTAAGAGATAAAGTGATGGCTATAACATTAAATAATGCTAGTGCAAATATTAAAGCAATTGAATATTTCAAAAATGATTTAAGTTTATTCAGTGATGTTACTATTTTTCATTAACGTTGTGCATGCCATGTAATTAATTTAATAGTTAAATCTGGTTTAAAATCAATGTCTATTCATATAAAAGCAATTAGAGATAGTATTGCATATATTTAAGGTAGTAACCCACGCGAACAAGATTGGTTTATGTTCTTACAACCACTAAATCTAACTCATAGAGCATTAGCCCTAGATATGCCTGTAAGATGAAATTCAACTTATATAATACTTCAACAATTCATCCCCCTATAAGGATGCTATAAAAAACTATATTAGTGCAAAATTATGAGCAAGACATATAGATGTATATGATTGGTAAATTGTCGAAACTTTGTATAAATTTTTAGGTAGGTTTCATGAAATTACTGTAAAACTTAGTGGAACATATTACCCAACATCACCTTCTGCTTTAGGTGAACTTTTAAGAATTAGTATTTTATTTAGTGAATTTATGAAGGATCCAATTTTAGAAGTTCATATCGCTTCTATGGAAAAGAAATTTAAAAAAATATTGGTCTAAATTGTCAATATTGTATGGTTTCGGTACTATTTTTTATCCTAGATTAAAATTAGAAGGTTTAGAAAACTTGGGTGAATTTTTAGACATCGATTGTTCTGACCAATTTTCTAAAATAAAGGAAAAAATATTTTCTCTATATAATGTTTGTGAGAATAGGTTTAGAAACACCACTTCTGGAGTATAGAAACACCGCTTCTGGAGTATAGAAACGGCAACAAAGAGATGAAAATCCGCATTCATTTATGAATGTTTTCGGGTTGAAGAAGAATATGATGATGACTCAAACGGAAGCTGGGAGTGGATCTTCATCAAGAGGTGGTGGCGGCGATGGCGGCTTCAACGAGCTTATGGCGTTCCTCAGCGAGAGCTTAGTAGTCGACAATAGTGGAGAATTATTTAATTTAGTTCAATGGTGGAAGGCACAAGCATTAACTTGGCCAGTCCTGACTCGATTGGCAATGGATATTTTTCGATCTCAATCTCCACGGTTTCATCCGAACAAGCCTTTAGTACGACCAGACGAATACTTGAAGAACGTTGAAACGCATTGCAAAGGGACATTGTTGAAGCTTTGGTGTGCATTAAGGATTGGGATCGTGCCGATCAACATTTACAAGATACAATTTCACCGGCAAGCCAGGAATGGATAGATGAATTTAATAGATTAACGTTTTGCTTTGAAAGCGATCCTTCAGCTTCAAATTAAATTGTAATTTCTAAATATTTATTTGCTTTGGACATTGTAATTGTAATATTTAGACTTTGTAATTTTATAAAATTTGTAAATCGACACAAAATGATTGCACTCTTTTTTTCTTACCAAATTTTTATCCCAATTGGGTCTTTCTTGATAAGATTTTTAAGGAGGTAATTATGAATTACAAATTTAAAAATTAATAAATAATTCTAATTTTTTGAATTAATTTGTGTTAATACTTAATAGTGTGTGTTGATTTTAACTTTTTAATCTTAATTATAGTTTTTATATAATTTTTACAATAAATAACTTAATAATTATTTATATACAAATACAATTAATGACCAACATTATATAATATATATATATATATTATTCGGGCAGCCCGGGCGGGCTCAGGTTGCCCGATTGGGATTCAGGCAGCTAAGACCTGCCCGAAGCCCGTTCAATGTCATTTTCAGGCTTGGGCGGGCAGCCCAAATTTCTCAGGCGGGCGAGCTCAAGCAACATATACAAGTTCAGTTTTTTCGGCCAGTCGTGGGCGGTCCATCTAAAGTTTCAGCACTACCCACACCCACTTGCCTAAAGAAAAGGCATCCAGCAAAGAAAAAATGAAAAACGACTTAAAAATTAATACCTTTTAAGTGATTTTACACTAAACTGAAAACCGTTTTTGTTTTCGTTTATTTTACCTTTTTTTCTCTAAACGTGTTTTCCTCCTCAATCTCATTTTTTATCTCGAAAAACGTGAGAAATGAAAACAGAATTGATACCAAACAAGCTGAACGTGTTTTCTCTAAACGATCAAATGTTAACAAAAGAACTCACTCTGTTAGATCTTTAATTAAAATTAATATTTAATTTGTTATTTCAAAAGTATTATAATAATTTTAGAAATGGTTAACAAAAGAACTCACTCTGTTAGATCTTTAATTAAAATTAATATTTAATTTGTTATTTCAAAAGTATTATAATAATTTTAGAAATGGTCTCTAATCAGGTAGTGTCTAAAACACTTGATCGGTCAACACATTAACAGCCTATTCCAAGTACAGAAAGTTTAGGTACTGTGATATTATTATAATGGTTTAAATATTTGGTATTCATGTAGTTCAACGAATTGTCATTTGAATTTTAAGTTGTGGGATTTTGTTTATTATATGTAAGTTAGGGTTTCATTTCTCAGCCTATTCCTCTTTGTTCATTACCATCAATGCAGCATATGACATTTTGGGTTTTTTTATCGCAGCTACGATTTGTGCATACAATTAGTCGGCAATATTGCTGGAACCTGATAATAGATTGGTCGGAGTAGCAACATTCATATTGCAATGCATACGATCTTGTCGTCTAAGTTTAGGAGAACCAACTATATAGTAAAATAGATAAGGTACTGTAAATATCAATTATCTCTTTTTTTTTTTTTGCATTTTGCGACCAAATTACTGGACCCATTTTTTGTATTATTCAAATTGGGTAAATTTTTTGTATTGTAGCACAATCTTTGGGTCGATTGTGGAGTGAAGGATTAGTTTTGGTTTTGGTTTCGATTATTGAAAGAAAGTTAATTTCGAATGGTTTAGATGAAAGAAATTGTCAGTTAGTTACACGAAGTGAAATGATTGCCTGTCTAATCTTATATTGGAATTTGAAATATATGCTATACTCAGAGAATGGTTATTTAATTAAAATGTTATACGCACTTAGATGTAATAGAGACACTATAAAGTGTGCTTGGTATTGGGAATTCTCAATAGTGTTTAAATTATTCGTACAATAAGTAGCATCCGAAGTTGTGATTGTGTTTATTTGAATATGTAAACAAAAGAATGCAGTTTTAATAAGTTTAGTATAGAAATAGACCAAATCGAAGACATTGTTCTTCTTTTTTCTTTAGTTTTTAGTTTAGTTGAAAATAGTAGATATTGTGAGTCCTATTGTTTATGCTTTGAAAGAAGGTAAAACAGTAAGATATTTTTGTATTAGTGATGAGGTTTCATTATCTTAAACGTGAGGAAGAGTTTGCAGTGGGAGAAAAAAAGCATGGGGAGTTAGATTTTGCAGTGGTATTTAAGGTTTCAGTGTGCATTGATTTAGAACATATTAATCCTTCTGATGTAGAGTCAAGTGGCATAGAAAGTAAAGGATGAAATCTGGTACACCCAATCCTGCTTTCGCAACAAAGAAGCAGAGGGCAAAACGCTGGGGTTCGAAGCAAAAGAGAAGTCCTGCTAAATGGTTGAATATCACGAAATGAGATTACCAACTATTGATGCTTTTTTTGCCTATTTTCTCACTTTTACTGGTTTTCTGTGTTTTCCCATTTTTATATCTAAAGATAGCAGAAAATCAATATTGTCCTAATCCTTATGCATCTGTATTGGTAACTTAAAAAGCATTTCTAATGCTATCTTTTGGGTTATAATGTTAGCAGGCATGATATTGTTTTGGAAACCATGTTCAATTGTAGGGAATACGTTATTGATATTTATTATTTTTATGTTAGGTCTTTTATCCATACTCTAGCATTCAAAGTGCTTACTCAAAAATGTAGAGAATTTATCCTTGAGAGTGCATGAGTCTGGACTTTTACCTTTCAGTCTTGATAAATATCATTTTGTTAGTGTAATTATTTGACTAAAAATGTTATGAATCAAGAGTAAAGGGTAAAAATCATGCCCCATACAATTTCAAAGGATATTTATCAAGATTATCCAAGTTACTCATATCCAAGGTTATTATGGAGTCTATGAGCTGTGGAAATTATTCAATTTGTTTTGAATTTTTTTTTCTTTTTTCCTTTTTTAGCGGATTTGAAATGATTCTTTCGATATTGACAAAAAAATTGGTTTGCAGGGGTTTTGTGGAGGAATCTTAAAGTGTTAAATCTTTTAGATATTAGCAAGAATTTACATTATCTGAAACATTTAACCGTTACTTTTGAAACTTTTCTTTGGTGTTGTTCTATTGAGAGTTCATTGTTAATTTGTAGAGGGTTGGTCTGGTATTTTTGTGTTTTTGTGTTGTAGGCCTTTAATTTTAGTTGGGACATAGTAGGCAACTATTTTAATTCTTATTATTATAGAATGGCTAAATTATAACATGAGGCGTTAAAATTAATCCGGTAAATTGATATTGTAAGAAGGTTTATTACTAGCTTATTTTGCTTTATGAAATGATGGAAACAAAGCTTTAATTTGCATGACTAAAAAGAAAATCACAAATATCAAACAGGCTTAATTCTTGATCTGTAAAAACTTTCCTACTTATTTGCAGGCATAATGAAAACAAACTATTAGAATTTTACACTATGATTATCTTTATAAGAGTCCAAATGATCTGAAACTAAACCTTCAACTATAGAGAAAAACTACGATAGAAACAACGAGACGATGAGAATCTTGGAAAATTGAGTATATTGTTAATGAATCAGAGACGACGAGTTTTAGGAAATTAAGTATATCATTAATGAACAATTCTAAGAAAACTGACTATCTTGTCCACAAGTAAAAATGTTGCCCTTTTATATTCCATAAGTTGGATAATGTATTCTATTTTACTCATTCAATGTGCTGAAAAATATTGG